TTTGTATTTTTTTAGTAGAGACGGGGTTTCACCATGTTAGCCAGGATGGTCTCGATCTCCTGACCTTGTGATCCACCCATCTCGGCCTCCCAAAGTGCTGGGATTACAGGCTTGAGCCACCGCGCCCGGCCGAAAACCACCCTATTTCTAATAGCATCAGAAAGAATAAAATACTTAGGAATAAATTCAACTATGAAGTGAGAGATCTGTGCCTTGGAAACTGTAAGACACTGATGAAAGAAGTTGAAGGAGACATAAATAAATGGGAAGATATCCTGTGTTCTTTGATTGGAATAATTAATATTTGTAAATGCCCATAAATGCCACATCTTAAAGCACCAGCTATTAAGAAAAAGATTGATAAATTAGATTATAATAACATTAAAATATTTTGTTCATCAAAAGACACATTTAAGAGAGTGAAAAGACCAGGTACAGAGAAGACATTTGTCATTGATACAAACAATAAAAATTATATCCAAAGTATACCAGGAAAATCCAACAAACCTCAAAGAACAAAACCCAGATAACCCCACAGGACTGGCGAGAGACGAAACAGGCTCTTCACAAATGGCTGGGTGGTGAAAAGCCGGAAGGACTGGGACTCCCGGGCATGCCAGGACATGCAGACGGATGGGGTGTCTAGTAACAGGGGGCAGATAAATTGTGCAGGGTGGAACATGGCTGGCCACAGAGACCAGCCACGGAGCCAGGCAGGAGCTGGAGCCACAGAGACCAGCCACGGAGCCAGGCAGAAGCTGGACGCAGTGTGTGCCTTCAGATGCCATTTGCAGAGTTTAAGAACAGGCACCCCAGGCTGCAGGATTTTGGGGTGCCGATGTTGGAGGTGAGGTTGTAAAAGGCCCTGGCTTTGCAGTACAGTCAGGAGGGTGGGCGCTGTGGGCGGCGAGCTGGGCTGGGGAAGCAGGGGTGGCTCTCGGGTGGGAGCAGGTCCTGCCTCCTGCCTGGTACTCCATTTGGGCATTTTTCTAGAGACGTGACACACTTCACTATCAAAAATGGTTTCCGACACCTCCGTGAGCCTCGTGTCTGTGCCAACCGACTCCAGCTCCGGCCTCCCTGCCTCTCCACCCGGCAC